TTGTAGAAATTTTGCATCACACAGAATAACAGTGTGTACTTAAAACTGGATCCCCAGCACGGTTTTTGCTGATTCTTTCCAACTGTCCCTCTAGTATATCCCCCAAATCTAATCATTTATAATTATTCCAAACTTTGAATTAACTATAATAAAAAAAACCATGAGGAGCTGGGGTTGTGGCTCAGCAGTAGAGCGCTTGCCTAGCATGTGTGAGGCACTGGGTTCGATTCTCAGCACTGCATATAAATAAATGAATAAAATAATGGTCCACCAACAAAAAAATATTTTAAAAACATGAGAGACCTGTGAGTCATACTGGCCACGTACTGTATTTAGCCCCTAGTTCAAACTGGCACTAAGCAGCCACTCAAATATTTGAACAAATGAATGAATTTTAATACAAAGGATGTGGTGGCAGCGTTCATGTCCCTGTGTGAAGGAAGCAGGTAGAGAGTAGTGATGGGAGCAGGTAGAGAGTAGGGGAGATTAAGCAGTGACCATGTCAATCCTTTATGAAAGGAGGTAGATCTTTGCTCTTTTTACATTGAACTTTGTGGATGTTCTTTGGATAGAGGAAACTCTTGAGTTTCCTTTCATCTCACTTCTATTTCCAAACCTTCTCTACCAACTCACTTTGATTCTGCTCCTTAAAGCTCTGAATAAGCCCTATCATGTGATTTCTATAGAATGTAACTGCTTTAAAATAATGTCTTTTAGCCATTGTCAGCTGATTTTATAAATGGCATTCTGTGAATTGCTAATACTTCAGGAGAGCCAATGTTTATATCTAAGAAACATTCTTCCTCATATGTCTTAGGGTTCAAGGCAGAAAATAAAGATGAACTTTAGAGGAAATCATAGTTAATAAAGTTCTTTTTTAAAAGTAGTAATTCTGAAGCCACTCAAATGACCTGTGCTTGGTATGTTGGTGAGCTGGTCTGGAGCAGTGCAGCAGCAGGCTGTGGGGCTGGAAGGCCTGGGATCCAGCTCCGGCTTTGCCGCTGACCCAGGAGTAGCCATGGGCTGTCCTTTCCCTCACTTGACCTCGGTTCCCTCATTTGTAAGAAAGAGATTATGCCTATCTTTCAGGGAGATTATGAGAACCACACAACAACATGGAAAAGAGCTTTACAGGCAGTAAAGTCATGTCTCAAATGAATTATTAGCTCCATGATGGCTCTTTAAATGGTAGGGCTGTTATCCATGCCTGCGGCTCTTATCAGAAGTTGCTACTAAGTAAATGATGAGTAATGCAGAAACCTCTGCAGGCATCCTGGGGTCCAAAGTGTCTGTCTTTGCTGTTAAGACCTTTTCAATCTCATAGCTTTGGCTTACACTTTGATGGTATGTCATAGTGTTCTCTACCACTGAAGAAAAGAGGGTGAGGCAGAAGCATGGAGGGAAGAGCAGGGGGCCAGGTATGTGGAAGGTCAGAGGGAAGGGGGAGATGTGTATAAGGAAGCCCCTGTGGGGGCACATGGTTAGTTCACTGCCCTGTCCCTGGTGCTTTAAGTCTGGTACATGGAACCAATGAATTAAACACTAGTTGAGTGAACCCATTGGTGATCATACCCTTATTTTATTCAGGGAAATAGGAAAATAAAATTACTCCACATAGATATTTTTGGGCTCCTTTACTGGCCTTTTTTTTTTTTTTTTTTTTTTCTGATAAGAGATTATGTTTACCAAAGATTTTTGGTGGGTTTGTGGCCTTTGCATAGAAGTATGCGAGATGCCCTGAAGACACAGTGTGTCTTTTTTGGGGGGAAGGGGTGGCGGGATAAGAATCCCCAGGCACTCAGCCATTGAACCACACCCCCAGTCTTTTTTCATATTTTATTTAGAGACAGGGTCTCACTGAATTGCTTAGTGCATCACTGTTGCTGAGGCTGGCTTTGAACTCGCAATCCTCCTACTTTGGCTTCCCGACCCGCTGGGATTACAGGTGTGTGCCACTGTGCCTGGCACAAGTGTCTTCTAGGAGTTAAGACACAGTAAAAGAGGACCAGGAAATGAGGACATTTTGAGCAGGGACAATTGGGGAAGACTTAAATAAATAAATAAATAAATAAACTGTATGTATTAATTTACACATTGACTTTTTAAAAAATTTTAACTTGAATAATAGCAGAGTCTGTGAGCCCCTCAGCAACTCTCTTGGGCTGATAGAATCTTGCATGATTTGTGGACGCAGTTGGGGCAAAAGCTGGAGGCTTCTGCTTTTTCCTAGATTGAATGGTCAAGCTGAAAGGAGAGTACTTCCAGTATTTATGTTCTTAAAAATTGGGGATGGGAGATATATGTAGGCTCCCCCAATTTTATTTTGAGATCAAGCTTTAAAGTTTGTCTGAAGGTACTATAAAATGGAAATATCCTGTCAGAAATGGGAAACAGTCTTTAAACTGATATTAAAATAGGAAATTAGAAATCATGAGGTCTCCTGGAGATGTCATACACAGAGCAGAAGAATGGCTTTCCAGGCAGTGAGAAGGTGGAGAGCAGAAGACCTCAACATAAAAGCGAGCTGTGCTGTGCAGCTCTGGGATACAGCACTTTATGGAAGGCTGGCTGAAGTGTAGCTCCATGGAGGGGAGGAGAGGCAAAGAGTTCTAGAACTTTGTGCTGGAGAAAATGGGGAGCCATCTCAAGGTTTCATGAGAGGGAATGACATTAATAGGACCATGTGTTAGAATGAAGCTTCTGCTGGGTTGTGAATGGGTAGAGAAGTGGGCTGAGCATCAAAATCTGCTGCTCAGATGGGGGAGAGATGCAGAAAGTCTGGGCTCCCCCAGTGGAGGTGCAGAGGAAGACCATTGAGAACTTTTGTACTTTTCTGAAATGAGAGAGCTCTTTTAAGGCTCAGCTCAGATTCAGTTTAATAAAGAAAAAGAACATGGTTTTGACAAATATAAACCCCGTTGTTCTCTTCTGGCTTTATTTGTTCAGGATGAGGAAGCTGTTGAAGGAGTGGAGGGACAGTGGAAAATTGGGAATGGCGGGAAGGGAGATGGGGACAGGCTAGAGTCCGACGCTCCTGCCTTTGTTCTGACCATCTGCAGGTGCTGCTCTGTGTTGCCTCTCTCCCCTCTCCTGCTGATTCCCTTTCTTCATCATCTACAGAGACATTCAGTTCTTCCACACTATTCCATTCTGTCCAAATATTTCTAGCTCCAGTGTTTCTGCTCTTCACTTGGGCAAATGACCACTCAGCCTGTGTGCCTAACTGTAAAGTGAAGCAAATTCCTTATCATAGTGTCATGACACCTGCATGGGAAATGCATAGAAAAAAACTTTGCTCCTGAAAAATAACAAAATTTGAAACAAAGACAGAGCTCAATAAATAAGAATCTAGTATGTATTTCTATGCTTATGGTATTCTGCCTTTTTATTTGTAGAACAAGAGTACTCTCTTTCAAATAGTCTGAGGCTTTAGCATTAGTTTTAGATCTTAAGCATGGTACTTATCCCCTTAAGAGTTCAAAACATGACTTTAATTCTTTTTGTTTTCCAAAGTGATGTTGTTAACAGGATGTGGGATTTGCATGGTTTTCTTAGAGACTGATATGGGTGACCTTCATATCTTTATCTTTTCTTGTGACCACAGGCCCCCTTTATGAAAATGGCTGACTGATTATTTGTTTTTTTGGAACAAAAAAGCAAACACTGAATTTCTCCCCTGCTACACACACATACACAACCTTTATTATATGAAGTGATCTAACAAACTAGAATTACTTTTATGGCTGTCAGACTTAAAGTTCAGGAGAGAAAAAGGGAAAGGAGTCCTTTTTATGGGAACATTGTCATGTAAATAGGCAGCAGAGTTGATTGACAGTTGGATGCTGTGGAGGCTGCAGGAAATGGTGAGGCTGTAGTCTCCACAGAAAAGCAAGGCTGAAGTATTGAAGTTTATGAACTAGGCTTGTATTGGAACAAAGAGTGTGGACTTGAAAAATCTAAAATAACTTCCTGTCTTGATTTTGTCTTTTGGATACATGCCAAGTAGAAAGGTTGGCCTTGTAAATGAGTGAGGCGGAACTGAGGCTTGGGCATTCCTACAGTGGGATCAATCGGTTTTGGGGTCAGATTAAAGGCATTAATTTCTTCAAGGATTGGCTGGGAACACACAAGTACATGTATATTCTTTGTTCAGTCCCAGAGTTTCTGGGATGTTGTGTAGGGCAGTGCCTCCAAGTGTAGCCACTGGACAAAATTCTTTAGCCTTCTTAAGGACAGTTGTTCCTGATAATCCAGGCTCTGATTGACTTGAGGCTGTTCAAATCCTAAGGCATTGACTCCATAAAACATGATCACTGTTCTGACTCTATAGTACTTTTAATCCTTCTTCTGTCTTGTTGTTGTTTTTTGATGTAATGTAAATTCAAATGCAAATCTTTTTCTAGGTGTGGTGTTATAATACCCCATTTCTGAAGGTTTGGTGAACTAACATCCATCCATTCTTCCT